TGCAACACATTACATCTCCCCCCTACTGTCTCCAATGTGATAAACTTCAAGCACCAAGCTTGAATAAGAAAACTCTGGGAACACTGCAAAAATAGTTATTTGTATGGGTGCAAAGCCATGTTGAAGCATCCAAATCTGTTGATCCATGTTGAAGTGAAGGACTAGCAAAAATAGTCAGAACTTTTAAAAATCCCAATACTCCCTAACAAAACAAACAAAAAAACCCTTCCAGTTTGGAATCTTAACACCACAAAAACAACAATCACAGTCTACAGTGCTAGAGTTGTCAGTTCACAGCAGCTTGTATGAGGACTAGAAGTCTCAAGGCTCCATCTAATGCTATTTACCCCAGTTCCCGAGCAACAGAACCTCATCTTTACAAGACCCAAGATCTACCTGTTTGTTTGGGGTTTTTTTTGTTTGGCTTTGGTTGTTTTTGGTTTTTTTTAAAGGTTACAACAACTAACACAGACTTTTGCCTCATAATACTCATTCCTTACAGTACACTCAGCAAACTACAGATGAAGCATTTACCTGTGTAAAACTTCATCAAGGAGGGGACTAACAATTTAGTGGAGAGAGGATGATTCTCAATCATTTCAAAGAACTTTTGTGTCCGGGGCTGAACAGCTGGATTTGTCATGAACATCACTTCCACCAGCTTGGCTACTAAATAAGGATTTCGGATGTAATTCTGGTTGCACAGCATCACAACAAGGAACATCACTATGTCCTGAGTGCAGGGCTCATAAAGCACCTGAGGAGCATATCTGATAAGAGGGAGATAAGGAAAACAAAATGAAAAACAGCAAGCCTGTATTGTCTACAGAAGATTTATCGTATACATCAAGTAAGCTCAGATCACTCATTAGCAACAGGAAGTTTAGTCATTTTATCATAATTCCCAATCTTTCCAGAAACTAGCTTTTTGCTCTTCCAAAAGGTCTTTTGCCAGCTGTTCACTGGAACCCAAATTTTAGCCTGAAACACGATCATATTCTATTGTTGCGCACAGTAGCAAATTTGCTATGAAGTACCACTGTAACAGCACCTCAGGGAGGCAAAAGCAAACATCTCCTCTTCACACAACACAGCAAAGCCTGAATTTGAAGGTACGTTTTCAGGAAGAAAGGGACCACCTTCAGAGCTCCAGTATTACATCTGAATAGGATCCATGCCCATCTAAACTGCTGAACGTACACAAATGCATTTTGTCCCAGCAAATTTATAAATGGGGGAATTTTCTACTTAGTAAGCTATGAATTTTTAAAAATATTATTCTAGTGATGATTTAACATATCGTGAAATCAAAGGACTCAAACTCCAAACCATAAAAGCAAATTCTTGGGGGGAGGGAACCAAAAAAACTTCAACTTTCTTCCAAGAAAAAATTAGGTTAGAAGGGACTCTGGAGCTCACCCAGGCATTATAGCTGCAGCAATACCTGCCAATATCATAATCTTATGGCTGTTGTTAAAAAACAGAACATTAACTACAGAATAGCTAGGAAATGACTTTTGCACCCTACATTTATGTGTAAATTTATGTTTGTTATAAATCTGTAATTTATTTTACTGAGGTAAATGGTAGTACAAATTTCCTTTAGATACAGCTTCACTTACTGTACAATAAAAAATAAAAATTCAGCAACATCTTCCACGTAAAACTCTGGCAATGCTGCAAATACCTTCGGAACGTCAGGAGTTAAAGGCAATTTTATGCTGTAGAATAAGAGAGACAACAAACAGGAGAGTAAAATAGCAGGGTTAAGTAGGAAGTGTCACGAGCTCTCCTCTGGAATTCTCCTACGGGAACACTTTACAAGAGTTCTGACACTGATTTTTAAAAATCCATGTCAATACTTCGAGTGTAACTAAACATACCCGAGGGTTGTTCTCTCCCTGCAATTAAACCTTAAACTATAAATAAGACATATGTTCCATGCAAGAATTTAAGTCACTGACATAAAGTAACAATCACATAAGAATGCAGACACTGTAAAAAAAAAAAAAAAAATTAAGTTCTAGAACTAGTAAATTGAGTAAACATTTATCTTTGATACAATTTACATAGACAATCCTGACACTCACTTGGGATAGGCAGGGTCAAGAATGCGAAGCATCAGCTGAATCACCATGCCATAGAAATTCAGACATCTCCTGAGAAAGTTTTCATCCAGCAAACCAGCATCTGCACAAGCCTTGCACCTCACCAGTTTCTGCAGAATATCCATAGAAAAACTCATCCAGGGCAAGACAACATAAAAGGAAGGTCAAGCCTATCCAAGCTAATGAATATCTGTGAATTATGACAATTATGCAATAGTCTGTTCTTAAAATATGCTCCTCTTTGAAAAAGAAAACGGGGCTCTTAAGCCCCAACATATCAAGAAAAACATGCACATAATTCAGAGTTGCAGGGACAGAGGAGCCTTTTACAAGCTTTATGGGAACACTGAAGTAAATAACAGAGATATCAAAGTGGGAAAATGTGCAGTTAAAGTTATTTTGGTGATACAGCTCAGAAAATTTGTGTCATTTTATACTAGGAAGAGCTAAGCAGGACAGACCTTCCAAAGAGAGGACCCCAGCATACTCATCTTTGCAAAAATTCTACACGAGATTAAGGACTAGAGAGTTCCATCTCCATCTTGGGCAAGGATCATGCATGCACAACTATCCCTGAACAAATCACAGTCCCTTTGCTGTTCTCTCTCCAATAAAAATAATATTTTCTTCTTTCTGAGGAATACTGGCTAAAGTTAATCTTGATGTTATTTTGAATTTTACATTCACCGCTTACGTTGTATGGTATCACGACCAGCATCTAGGAAAGTACTCACATGGTTCATAGATTCAAGCCCACTATTTTCATGAAGCATCAGTGGGAAGTTGCATTTAAACATTAGGACACCAAGTAAATATACAGACAGGTTGACAGAGGCATTTAGTTGGGAACTGAATCACTTACAAACCTTAAGCTGTGTCTTGCAACGTTTCAGCATTTCTCGATGCCTGGTAGCCAGAGGAGAATCCTTCCATTGACTTTCATTGTTTTTCAAATCTTCAACAGTCCTGAAAACCATATGCAGTAATCAGTTATCATGATAGAGGGGATATGTTCTGTCATCTACAAGGCATTTTAACCTGCTTATCTGCTAAATACCAAGGAAATATTGAGAAGTGGGGAAAAAAGCTACTAATTTTCATAGAAGTTACCCATCATCGTAACACGAAAAACAAATTGCTTTTGTGCATGCAGACTGAACATCTGCACAGTGTGCAAAGGCACTACATACACTAGCTCCAACATACACGCCTGTCAGACAAATCAGAACAGTGGAAAGAAAAAAAAAAGGATGAAACATAGAAGGGGTCTATCTTGCCTGACAAACTAATTTTATGCACAGTATTTAAAAAAAGTATTTGCCTTTTCTCTTTTTTTCACACTGAAGTCTACAATCACTCTAAAGGAAGGTTAAAAGGATGTTGTTAAAATTAACACCAACACAAAGAAGGGCTGGTCCAGTTAGCAGCGAGATATTTAGAGATCTCATTGATCTTCTAATATCAGAAAGGAAAACGGAAAACAGAATCAGCTAAGGAAAAAAAAGGTGGCTGACAACAGGACGTGTTAGAAACACCTTCCCTTTCCCAAGAAAGGTACAAGTCTGCATCCCGCGCATCTTCCCACCATTGTAAAAGGTTTTTTTGCAGTTTTGTTCTACCCTTCTCATGCTCCACTCCCCATAAAATTCAGGTTTGCAGAGGAGTACAATGTATGAACCATCTATAGTCTCCCCATTAGCGTAAGGACCAGTAAATCAAGGTGGTTGATAGTACCTCCCCTCCCTTTACCCATCATCTCACTCTGCCCCATAGAAGAGAGAACTTGAATGTACATTACACACACCATTTATATTAAAAAAAAAAATCCTATGTATTCCCATATCTTAATCTTCTTTAGGAAGGGCAGCTGTTTAGAATAAAACTCAAGATACTGAACTATATGACTACAGTCCCTTTTCATCCCTCCTCTAAACTCAAATTCTTTTCCATGTCAATCTCTGCCTACAGCAGAAAAATATCCAGTCTAATTTCTTTATTACCAACATCTAATCACATTGCCCTGTGTTGCAAGCAAGTAAGCAATTTATGGAAAATGCTGAATGCTAAACTCCTATTGATGTCAGTAAAAGCCAAGAGCTCTTCACTCTGCACCGTTAGTGGAGATTGCTGCATAAGCAACTCCTTCACAACAATTCTAAATAAGGAAAAAGAAGCGATTCCTTTTTCAAGCCAAATGTATGGCTTATTTACAAGTAATCCACAGGCTGGTTTTTTTTTGTTTTTTTTTTTTTAAGATATACTGACTCTTCTTGCTCCATTCTCTGCAGCTTCCCAGGTCCTCAGCCTGCATGTGCTTTAAGAGCTAAAAATGAAATCACTACGAGCACAGTCCAAAAATCCTGTAATGAACTCATGGTATTACTGCCAAGAAACATTTACCAAAATGCAGTGAGTGCAATTATAAACAGTGGAAAATACTGATGATACAAAAATCTGTTCTAATTTTAACAGAGTATTCTTCGAGGTTTAGCAACTATAAAAGTCTATTTGAATTTATGCCAAGAGAAACAGAAAACAGCAGTATCTTCATGTTAACATCATAACTTTTATTTATAGTTTTTAAAATGGTAAACCACATGCTGAATTACAAGTACATCAACAATATTAAGAGTTTACTGCTGAAGGCTTCCTTCCCCTCACACCCCAAGAGTATGACAAGTTATCCCACCTCAGAAGCCAAGGGGAAAAAGGTAAATATCTTCTGGGACATACAAAACAGCTCAGGCACCACTAACAATGTCTTGTTTCTGAAATCACAAGTCATCTACAGTGACTTGATTATCAGACATGGAACTTTATAAGCACTCCTATAGCTATACCAAAGAGCCTAAGGCACTGATGTCCGTGTACCATCAACCACACCACAGATTAAGTTATAATAGTGTTAAGCAAGATCATGAATTCTTAAATGCTCAAAAGATTATTTTTTAAATAGAATGGTTTTCTCACCAAGCTGCCTTGTGTAACTAATATCCTCCATTCCACTATTATTTGAATTCCTGATTCAAGCCACAGTCCCTGAACACAAGCAAAAATCCTTAAGGGCCAAAAGCAGATCAACAGTAGTTAGACTGATCTGTACTCAGCAACAGTTTTACCCAAGTTGGCACCCTAATTTCCATTAAGTTTATAAGACTTGCCATCATGGTGAGAAGCAGCATGGCTAGGATGCTAGGACTCTCAGATGTACTAGATGATTAACAACTTCTTACCTGTTGAGTTCCCTGATGGCCCGCAGTCTACGTATGTACCGACGGCAGCTTGGCAGGATTGAGAGATGATGGGCATGCAGGGTTAGGAAGAAACATTCTGTTGGGAATTTCGGCTCAGAAAATGGAGACGGATCCCTATCTAGAAAACAAACAAACAAAGAAATTAAAAAATTAACTGCCTTAACTAGAGGTGAGACCCTGAACTCAATTTTCTTTAAATCAAGAAAGAGCAGACAGCATCAAGAAAAAGCACTTAGGAATAAGGGAATTATTTGCTGGAATCAAGTAGTTCCATGTTTCTCCAATATCAAAAACAAAAGGCAAAGCAAATGCTTAACATATCTTAATAAGAGGACTCACAAAGTTCAGCAATCCAGGCTGTAACATCCTCCATTGTTGCTTTCACTCTTGTCTCATCTGTTGGGAGGTCAATACGACACCTGGGATGAAATATGTACATGGGATCAACCGTTTCCAGCTTTATCTTCGTACTTAGTTGCTGTAGTACCCATAAGAAGTTGAGCATAAAGCCATCTGTAGATACTAAACGATCATCTGTCTGTGGGGTAAGAAAGTAAATAGTTGAAGACATAAGCTTAGAAGTACAAGGGTATTTCCTGCTGCTTTAACAGTATTCAACAAACAAGTTCAAGAAAAGGGCGAAATGATGAAGCACATTGATATGTAAGGAGACCGTTGTCATAACAGGAGGGTCACTTACTAACTTACGTATTATCTTTCTCTATGGTTCAAGTAGTCATTCTCAAGAACATTAAACAAACGTATAAAAAAAGTAGAAGACTACCTAAGAAATTAAAAGGGCTTAAAAGGGCCTCTTTCAGGAACAGTTTTGCCACAGATACAGACAGCAGAGTTTCAAATAGTTGCTGAGCTTCAATTAATAAGTTTTATCTTAAGTGCCAAGTTTCTGTTACTTCTTCACGGGAATTTCACAGACAGACTCCTGGTAATGGTTCCAAAAGTTTGCTTTTGAAAAGGGGACTTAAAGACAACAATGATGCAAACTTCAGTTGCTCAGGATTCATGCACAGATTTTATCACAGGAAATGAGTGCAATGCATTAATTAAACAATGGCAAAATAACAGCCCTGTTGTCTCATTGGGACCATGCCAGTTCTTATTTGCATTACTCCTTTTACAGAGACCATACAAACAAAGTCTAACAACTTACCAGCTAGAAAGTAAGTTTTTTGAACATAGCCAATTGGAATGAATGAAGCCCCCATAGACTGGGAAGCAGGGGGAAATACAGAGCTTTAAACATCTAATATAGAATCAAGTGACATGTCAGTCCTAAGAGGAGAAACAACATAAACTGATCAAATAGGTAAAGCAGAATAATTTCAGAAACGGGAAATGTATTGAAAGAGATAAAGACTGCTGACAGGGCTTCTTGCCCACTGTAGTAAGCATTCTTTTGTGCTCCATCCAAAAGCCACCACTACACAAGCCATCTAGTGCTATTTGTGCATTGACTAGGTCCACGAATTACAGGAAAAACATTCCTTTTATTTACCTGCATTTGTGCCTTTTTCATGTTGGCATTGACAATAGCTGCCATGTAATTGAGAGCTGCTTCTCGAGTTTCACCATTCAGTAAAATACTATGTAGAATCTTGAACAGCTCTTGCTGGAATTTCAAGTAAACATTCTGTCAGGTTGCACGTACTTCTCAACGTCACATGCCTGCTTTTTGTTGCTCCATATTTTTCCATTCTACAAATTCCACACAACTAACTACAACTTCTGTTATGGTCTTATTGTCAACGTTTATGCATATATTAGTTAGGAAGTGAGTTACAGAAAAGATTTATATAGACTAGTGCAACACACACTACTAACACAGCATGCATTTTTTTACTCATCCTTTAACATGAACTATAATCCATGACTAACTGTTCTGTTATTTTCTGAACTGGCTTACAGCCTTAGAAAAATATTTATAGCACTATTTTTTTTTTCCTAATTCCCTTCAGCCGTATTTTAACAGATGAGTTTTTTAATACAGAAGCTAGGTTATTTTAGATTATATTCTTCACCTATGTCAAGACAAAACACCCCACAATATCGTTTGCATTTTTTTTAAACATGAGAACACTTACCCTTGCTAACTCCAGGTAATGTTGCAAAGACTGGCTAACGACACGGGTGTTTTCAAGAGTAATTGCAGGCCCTGAGAAGTACTTTTCAACTACTTTGTTCTGAAAGTAGAATGAATATTAGCAAATGCATCAAATATATTGGGGAAGGGGGGAAAAAAAAAAAAAAAACCAAACAACCAACACCCCAAACATAAAACCCTCACCACACTACTATCAACATCCTTCAGTAACACTTACATCATCTTCGGCAAAGACAGAAAGACTGAAGAAGGCTCCAAGATAGGAAAGTCTTTGCAGCTCTCTTCCTGCACCTGTGCTTAAAGATTTAGGCAACCACAAGGGCAAAGAGACAACCTAGAAAATAGGAGAAATTGCAAATTAGTCAAAGCTGCCATGTCAGCCATACTGTCCTGCACTGTCACCTCTCAGTGTTTGCCACGCCCTCAATTCAACATTCAGTCATGCTGATGGCTAAATGGAAACATCTCCTCAGTATTTCAGCAATCTAACCAAGTCTTGTTTGTCCTAGTTTTTCCAAATTCTCAGGGAAAAGGACTCCCTCTACCAGTTTACTTTAAACTACTGTTCAGCATGACATAGTACAGTAGCCCTGTTTAGAGTTCTGAGAACATTCTCAATGTGGATCATATGATATAACTAAGTGACATGGTTTTCTTAACTTGGAAAAAAAAAATTCAGACTGGATACACTTACCAAACTGCACATAGGGTGTGTTTTCCCAAACTTGATTTCACAAAGTTCACATAGTGCCTATAAAGAAATCCCAAGAAAAATTACTTTTGTGTGCAATTCCTAAGTAAACTGTCTGCAAATAAAAAACTTAACATGGTAAACTGCTGAAAGAGCCAAACCTTCTTCCCTTAATCAGTGGAAAAAACTCCATCTTCTACAATGGTGAAGAGGTCCGAAAAGAGCTAGAGCACACCCTGCTCCCATTTTAGCTTTTACATCTGTTCCAAATTGTCTCAAAAAAGCTAACATGGCTCACAGGATAATAAGTTATTGCACTTATTTCAAAAATTAGCTGTGCAAATTGTTTGTTTGTTCAGAACATAACAATGCCTTTGCTGGACTCCTGAACTGCCACATAAAAGTCAGCAACAATAATAAATAGAGCAATTGTTCTATACATACACCGAGGCCTTTGTCTTTTGAATCAGAGTGGAAAAATGTCAGATGAACACAGAAGCCAGAAACAAAGAATCCTATCCAAGATCTCTAACTCACTTTCAACTGCAGCACAGAAAAAAGAAAGCAGTTATAACAGATGATTCTGAAAACACAGAAATACCGTAGGCTTTCACATATCCTGCTTCTCCTGTATTATATGTTCTCATTCTTCAATTATACTAGAGCTAGTAACTACTATTCCATCCTTTTGGTGCACACTGTACCAACTAGAGATGATCAAAATGGAATATAATTTTCAAGCAGCCCTCGCTTGTAGCCAACAGCCAAATTTGCAACAGTTCACAATTTAAATTGGGGGTGAATAATAAAACAGCAGGAAAACACAGAACCAGCAAAAATTGTTATTTTTGCAGAAGTACCAGACTTGGTTAGTCAATTTGATTTGCAGGACCCCAGTCCAGCTAATTTCCTGAAGTACAAATTAAACCCAAGATGTAACAGCCTTTTTTTGCATCATACTTTGAAGATCCTAAAATCCGAAGGTGCTAGCTAACAATGCGCAATTTAGCCAAGAATTTAGCTTGCTCTTTTGTGGCCAAGTGTGCTTTTCAAAAGACTTTTTTGTTTTGTCAATAAAAGCAGTAGGAGGGAAGCAGATCAGGGGACTAAAGTATGCACTTAAAAAATAAAACCCCCAACTTTTCAGCCAGTAAATACATCTCCTGTGTCAGTAAATAGTCACCAATTCAAATAATTTGGTGTTTAATGCAATAGCTTTTAGTTTCCCACATACCAAAGTGAGTCCAACAAATATTGGTATGGATATTGGGCCTTATTTCCCAGACTTAAACTGGGAGGATTTTATAACCATCCACAGTATTATAACTACTATGCATGATGAAATCCATACATTTGATTAATCTTATATAAAGCAATACATATAAACATTTGAAGAGCCCACTACACAAACTCTGTACATGAAGCTTAAGATATTGTTGGCCTCAGACGACTGGATTTGTAATGATCTTTTACACATTTCTCATAACATTAAGCTTCCAACATAGAGTTTAATAGTAAACCACTAACCAAACAAAGCCCAAAAATGTCAGAGTACATTATCTTGCATAGAATCTGCAGAATTTATCAGTAATCATAAAGAAAGTGCTTCTAGAAATCAACAGCCCTTACCATAAGGGGGTATTTAAAATTGTCACTATCAAGGGAGCACTCTTTGGAAGCTACAGCCAAGCCTTGTAAGATGGGAATAAAGATCTGTAAAAACAGAAGTAGATTACTTTATCCGGAACAGAAAGCAATCAAGTGACACCATTACTGTACGCAGCATGAAATGCCTGCTCATTCTTCAAATACTGCAAGTTACACAAAAGAAAAACTAAGACCTTTTCTTTAAATTTGTACCAGTTAAGCCTGAATGCTTAATAGATTACTCAAAGCTAAAAACCAACTTGGTTGATACCATGTGATGTATTCACTTGATGCCCGAGCATAACAACTTACCCATAAAAACTTATTTCCAAGCACTTGTATGTCTTTTTCCTGATCAGATTCTAACTTGTTTCCAAACATTTACTTTACAAACCAAATAACCCTAGAGATGTATGTCTAGATTTGGACCCAAAGCTACCAGATAACAAGCTGAAGCTGACAAATGGTAATGTTAGCACACATTGACAAAAATCAGGTGTTGTTCCACCAAGTTCTGTGCATGCAGAAACCACATAGGGAAGCACACACACACTTCATCCAGGATCACTGCAGATACTGCAGGCACATGTGCAAGCACGCGTATTCTATACACAAATGAGAGCACGAGTTCTGTAGAGGTCTCCAACAACTTGATTTCATAAATGGGTAATTTGCCTGTACACTTGGAGTAGTAACATAGCTTTAACCTTGCATGTCACGTAACCAAGTTGGTTTTGCACTGGCAAGTTGTAACTCTGGTAAGAGTAAATATGGTAAGCAGCAGTCAAGGATTGTTATGAAAGAGGAAGTGACATGACGGGAATTTATTAATCATAAGTAATTATACTCAATTAGTAAGTCCCAATCACACAGCTCTGACAACTATACCCTCACAAACCAAACTTACAGTAATTTTGCAACAATAACAACAAGAGGTTCCACTGAATCTTAAATTTAAGTATACTGTGTTGCCTTTATGAAGAGACAAAAAAGTATTATAAATCATAGTACAGAAAAGGACTATAAAGAGGTTTTTGTCAGCTTCAGCTAGAAGAATGGTTCTCTTATCCAGGGTAGGTCACCCCTTTAACACTTTCCATAACCACTTTTTGACAGTCTTAAGTGTTCTTTCAACTGCATGAACCTCTACTAAAAGGTGCCCAGACAGAGATATAAATTATTAAAAGGTAGTTGCACTACACATAAAAGTTAGCTAACGCCATTTTTTTTCAAAATTGAAAGGATCAAATGCCATTCTGAAGGCCTCTTCTTTACAGCTCAGTCACATAATGCTACAGGAGTGCTAATTAGAGACAATTACAACCTCACTGATCTGCTTTAACATTACATAGGCTGGAAGTTTGCTAGGTTTGTGTCTTAATTACTAGGCCCCACCAGTTCCAATTTTTTATCATCTCCGTGAACTACTCTGACACACAGAATAAGCCAGCTAATGTTTCTCAGTCATCTCCTCTGTAAAATATGAAGACTTAATAGTCTAGGCTTTGTAAAATGCTCTTCGCACCGTAGATGCAAACTACTGAAGTTGCAAAGGGTAAAAATTGCAATATAGAAAAAACAACAAAACTTGCTGAGTACAATTACAGAAGATTGTTGTCTTACACATACATTTTTACAATATTTTGTACAGAAGCCAGAAGGATGAAAACCCAAGATCAATCCTGTAACATATGCCTGATATTTCAGGTAGTTCACTTCAACATTACATAAGTGTTCCTTGCTTATTAACAAATGCATTTTTAATTATTAGAACCAGTAAATAATCAAAGTCACAAAATGCTAAATTCATTAAAAACAAGCAAAACCAAACTCCAAGTACTTAACAGGTTGCTAGCCCCAGAAATAACAGGCATAGAAATGAGATGCAGAATAAACCTCTGGAAAACCACTCTCTTAGATAGTGCAGACAGTAGAATCACATGATGTAATTTTTTTTTTTTTTTTTTTAACTTTTCTCTTACCTGTTTGAACACCTCTTCATCCTGATAAGTTGTTCTCACCAATTCTTGGATGAAGCCAAATGGGAGATTCCTACACAGCATATATGGTACCAGCAGAGACTGCTGCTGCAATGACCTTTATTTGTATATAGAAAAAAAATTACTGATTATTTGCAGTAGTATTTGTAGTAGTATTTGCAAAAATGTCAGAGTAACCACACTTAAGGATGTGCAGGAAGCAGATTATCAACATGTAGACAGACCTACTCCTTCCAGAAGTAACTAACTTTGTCTTCTCAAGTTACTTGTGGAAAGGTTATTCCGAAACAGATGCTGCTGCCAACATCACACTTTAGTTTAATGAGGCTGGAAGAAAATAACAACCCCTGTGTAGTAATTGGTTCTCCTTAGTCCCTCTATTAAGCTCAACTAGTGAAGGAAAAACATTTTTTGATGTCTGCTTTTCCAGATTAAAAAAGGAACATAACATTAGTCTTTCCCAAATTAATACAGGCATTACTTTTAACTGCTCCCTAGCATTTTTGAAAAAAGTATCTTTTTTTCCTTATTACATGTATAAAACTTATTCTGATGTCAACATTGGTTCATGTAAAGACAAAGCTAATCTCAAAGTACAGCGGGTAACTGGTGCATCTTTAAAGATTACAGAAGTAGTATTTGGAAACACAAATACAAAATTATGCAGATTTTAGTAGAAGTCACATATACTATTTTAAAAACCCTTTTATTGTTCTAACTAAACAGGCTGCTAGTTAAACAACTGCTGTTGAAACAACTGCACTTGAAATCTCAGAGTCTTGATTTAGTGTAGAATGTCTACACACAGATTTACATTACCAAACCTGTTGCAGTAAACTCTCTGACGTAAACAAGTGCTGTGCCACTTTAGCAGTTTTTGCTACACGTTTTGGTAAGACTTTCTCAGATGCACCTCTACTGGTTACTGACTTTCACAGGAGAAGTGCCCCAACAATCTGCAAGTAAAACAGTTTATGCATGAGGTAAGGCAGAAAACAGCCTGGTTGACTCAGATTCCCCATTTAAACTGTTCCAAGTCAACCTGGATGATTTTATCCAAACACAACTAGAAAACACTTAAAACTACCCTCCACCAACATATCAATGGGAACAATAGTCTCCAGTGGTAAAGCAATAAACTATTCCTCTGGCATATTCCTGCTTCAGTGATGATCTTAGTTTTCTTATGTAATCCTCAGAATAAAAAAAAAAATCCCAGAACAATCTAACTTTCATGAACTAACATCAGCTGTATTTACCTTGGTTGTGTTAAGGATCCCTGTAGCACCAAAGCAGCATGTGAAATGCACTGTGATCGGATGTTGCTCAGTAACTGGCTAACTGTTGGCTGGCTACACATCTGATAAAAATAACTTCATTTTAATTCAAACTGAAAGCATTCAGAGACAGAACAGACAGGAAAAGTGATAAATTTCTTTATTCATGCAGTATGAATGCAATATGCAAACTAAGATTAGCACCACTCCAGCTAAAAGCCTTTCAGATTATATATAAAAGGGTTGTTTGTTTGTTTTTTCCCCTAGAAGCAAATGCTTAAAGCAGAATAGAGAATGCTGATGGGGAGCTGGTCTCACAAAAGTATGTTTTATATGGAATGAACTTGGATAAAATGCAGTAGATCAAAAGGGGAAGGACAGTTTCTAACACCATGCTTATTTTAAAGATGTAAAACATTAATCCATCATATTTGAGTCATGTGTAACAGTCAAAGGAACCTTAAAAATTCTGTAAATCTACTTCTACAAAGCCATCAAGAAAAAACTATCAATACCCACCAGCTTTCCCCACTAAACAGTAAGAGGAGCGTCTGTGACAGCACTGATAGAACTTCACTCATCTGAAATATACCTTTGGTGCTTTCCGCTCCTCTATTCCAACTCTGTCAAAACACTCAATGAGGTAGTTCAGCATCTCTGTCTCCTTACAACTTTCAATGGTGAAGTGGTCACTGCAGGAATCTGAAACACTTGAGCTGCCAGAGCCTCCCATACTTTAAAACACACAAAAAGAAGAAACAAAGGATTAGGGACAGTTCTTCACTTGTGCACAATCAAATAATTCACAAACTCTTGGCCTCCTCTGTCAATTTGCTGACGGCATCACGCACACGGCTCAATAATTAAGATAATTTCTGTGATCTATGAAGAGCTCTCAATTTACCAGCTTGTCCAACTCCGAAAGTTCAGCCGTACCGTAACATGACTTAAGAATCAATTATCTTATTAAATTAATAAGTATCTGAAAGACTGCCATAAGGTACATGACTGTAATGAGAATCAATAAATCTTCTTCTCCCATTGCAACACCAAAAATGAACAGCCTTTAAGTTGTACCTGACATCAAAACTGTTCGGATGCTCAGGACATCACAACACTTCCATGCCATGATGCAACCTCTGCACAGTCTCTGTATGTAACATTCAAAATAGCAGAAATTCCACCAACTCTGTTAACGCTAGCCAACCCATGGAAGGTAAAATCCTCCCACTGCAGAGAAGAGACCTTAACCGATATATAGGGCTATAGGCAATCACTTTATATATTCTAAGGAAGGAGAATAAACAAAAAAGGAGGCAATACATCAAAGCAACTGTTCCTTTTAAAATTCCCACATTAAAGATCATTTAATTTCAGCTCGGTTAATTTCAACTCCCATTCAGTAAGATAGGCCACTTCATTAAGTAGCATGGCCAGGGCGGGGGGGGGGGGGGGGCAGACACTGATATTTTAAATACAAAAACTAAATCCACAAAAACAAAACCATGCTTGAGACAAGAGAGAAATTAAATACAAAAGTGAGAACAGACCCCACAACTCTCAACCTCAGACTTTTTATCTCAACAGAATTCTTGCCTACATAACAGCTTGCCAAAGCTAATTAAAAGCAAAATCCTCATTTTACAGAAGGGAATTAAGACAAGATATATTAGCTTTATAAAAATGGAATTAAAAAAATAGCAATTACATGGATGGTCTACCACTATTCCTCAAATAAACGTCTGTGTACAGTCGGGGTGGATTTAAATGAAGACCAATTTATAAGACCCAGATCTTAAACTGGAAAATAAGAGTATTTGTTTCCTTAAATGTAGCTGTTAAAAAATGTATTTAAAACTACAGACTGTGTCATGACTGGAATTTCCTTTAAACTGGAAAATAATTTAAAATAATTTACATTTTAATAATTGAGTTGTATAAGGCTATTGTGCAAGCTTTACAGCCCAACCAATAAATCAGGGAAAGGTTATTACTGCTAAGCATCTGGTAGCTCAGCATGTTAAGAAACGTAACTTCTAATAGCAGCAATCTCTCTTTGTAGAGAGAATTTGTTTTCAGTTATTCAAGTAAAACTAATCCATGTAAAACATAGCTCTATTAAAATACACTCGTAACCACAAAACCATGCACACATTTTCTTTTCTATAGCCTCTCTTTTAAACCTCTTGACATCTCACATTCAGCTTTAAAACTACCCTTTTAAGAGCATCAATTTATATTAAAAAGTATTACTTCTATAGTCCTGTTAATGATTTCACTGCAGCAGTAACTGAAATTATTCTAATGCAAAGCTCATACATCCTTCACACACATATTGAATACTTTGGTATTTTCAGAATGCAAGTTGTTGCATAATTGTACAGCCACTGTGTTTATAATTTAACTAACATCTTACTGCTGTCTGCAGTATGCCAGGACATAATTTACGAACTAACACTCCAGAAGCATAGCAGCCTCAGAAATTCTTACCAAAGGCTTTGAAACTCAGTTCAACATTGGGATTACATTGCCAACAGGATAAGAATTAAACAAAACAGTGGGGAAAAATAATCCTAAATTGCACGTACACAAAAACCCCTAAACCTGTGTTATGAAGTTCACCCTCCTGAAATTAGACTGGAATGGAAAAGCGAAGATGCTATTGGAAGGTCTTCTGGCTAACAGTCCGACTTTAGCAGTAGCGTCCCAACATACCACAGGAACAATAATAGGCAGAAAAGCCAGTGAGAAAGGATCATCTCATACTAAGTCTTTTTGGGCATTCCCTTACATCACAAGGTATTTTCTAAAGTCTTGACCTAGCTTAGTTTGAGAAGACTCAAGCAATTCGATTCCCTTGACTTTTGCTGTAACTAAAATACTTCAAAGGGGACTGAAAGTCTCGGAGAAACTCTTTTCCTCCCAGTTGTTCAACATGCGTGTAGTCCTTAAAACTCGAATCTTCCCTCCCTTATACATTTGTCAATCACAGCCAGCTCTGTTAGGCTACGTGGCCAGCCACAGGCCACCTCAGAATTACTATCAATCATAACAGGGGTCTGAATGCTCATAGAAAATGTTCAGGATACTAGTAAGACTACAAAAGTATAATTTTTCAGAAAAGTCTTCCTAAAGTACATGTGTTTTTATACAAAACATTTACTCCTTTTTCCGATTTGGGTTGATAAGAAAGAATAGGCATTTCTTTGAGAATTTTGGTGCATGTGATGAAGCTGATGAATGTTAAGTTTTAATGGGAAAAGAAAGAAAATAATCATTTTCACCAGACTAGTAAAGAACACTTGGATAGGACAAAAAGCTTGGTAGGAGGGCTGCTCATTTTTGACCCCAAAACCTCGGTCCTATTTCCTATTAGAAAACATTTCTGTGTCAGCCAAGACATTGCAGCATTACTCTGCAATGGAATGTAAAACTACAGAAGCCTCTACACCGCCTTTACGTTTTCAGAAGCCTTTTTTTCCTTGGCATATCCAGTGTTCTGCAGGTTTTTCTGCACAGCTATCTGGCTAGCTTCCAAACAGAACTCACCAATATTACTTCTCATTTTGTTTTCACGTATCTTAACGACACACAAATGAAAGGGCTTTGCTACACAATTCATAAGTCTCTGCTTTACAATAAAATATTCTGCTCTACCCCCTTCACTTTTGGCTGTTCCAACTACATCAGCCTCTACTACTTGCCACGTCAAAGAGGCAGTTCAAACTTTCAGGTGTATTTTCTTTACAGGCTAGAGGAGCGATCCTCAGCTGTCAAGCAGCAACGAACCTTCAAAGTCATACTGTTTGCATCAGCTGGCTATTTGCCGCTCTATCTTTTTCTACATGTTAACCTTTGTTCTCATTTTCCAGTTTTTGATACGAAAACATGCACGTGATGTACCACCGGTTTTAGAATTACAACTGTGGGTGAATAATATTCCTTCTACTCATATAGTCAATGAGGAGTTCCACTCAAACATCATTTCAAAAACCATGCTCATTAAACCTAAAAGGCAGCATGATTAACATTTACTTTATCTTAGTCATCTCTTCAAGAAAAGAGCTGACTAACTAACATTCATTATACATGTTTATATACCATCTTAAAAACCCATCCAAGTCATCTCCTTGGCTTTAGTCATTTCCCAAGTTACTTTGAAGAACACTTGACACTACATAGACTGTTAGTGCCTAAGCAACCAAACATGCAGGTTACATTCTCTTTCTCCAATACCTGGACCCAAACTGGACACAAGAAAAATCATCATCTTCATTTTCTTCATCACTACTGTCCTCAGACACATCAGAAACGGCAAGAAGGAGGAGGGAGAAAGGGCTGTCGTATATACTACCACAACAAAAATGAAAAAGGCCATCAGATCTTTAAAACCAGAAGAAAAAGGAAACGGTAGCTTTTCTTTGTAAGTCTGCCAAAAGTCATCTTCTCTAAACATGCAGACAACAGATAACTCCATGTTAGTAAAACCAAGACTATACTAACATGCTCTGTTACACTAGTTACAAGTTATTCACATATCAAAACACAACACATTCACAAACCAAAATTTTAAAAAGAATGTTGAAGACCTAATACAAATTATTGTTGAAGTGGCAATGTTTAGACATGACTGAATAATAAATATTACAACTCTAAGATACTGAACTTTAAAGCAGTGGTCTCAAAAACCTGTGTGCTCATTTCTCCCTCCTGCAGGGACTGGGGATTCCAGGAGCAGCCAACAGAGAAAAGGCAGCAGTACTTGGCCTGGCATAGGCCTGAAATAGGCTAATCTGTAATTTAAATCTATGCACCAGGGAATCAAATCTAACACAGTCCAGCAAGTAACAGCTTTCAACAAATCAACTAAAGCCCTACCGAGAAAACTGATTTCAAAGCAGGAGGTCTGTCTGGTTTGCTATCCAGCAGTAGCAACTGAACAGAAAGCTAATAGTTTAACTGGAATGGATGTGAGAAGAAGAGGAAATTAGAAGACTATCACTACCTTTAAAGTAATTACATTACACCTTAAATGCTCGCAGAAGCAGGTTTAATATTTTGGCAAAGATGGCTCGTTAGCAAGTCAACATATTAGCACAAATCAAAATGCAGAAATCAACTCCAGGTAAGTAGGGTGAGCTCAGCACAAACATAGGTTCTTCCAAATTGCATGGTTATGCCACACCCTGCACGGCACACATTAAACACACTCTTTTGTTGTTGTGAAATACCTAGAAGGAATCCTGTTCAGTAAAGAAGGACGCCTGCGCAAGGTACTGGGTGAAGCAGTAAACAAAGGTGGACCCATTGTTGTGGGTCTCTGTCTGGATGTGATGACTGGCATGGCTGGCGGGCTAGCAGCCATGGCTGGAGGACTTGGTGAACTAGACGGGATGGAAATATTCGAGGAACGTGGTATGGAAGAAGCTGAAAAGCCTCCAGAATGGGCAACAGTGTATGGCCGGTACCTCGGAGAGGAAGGCTGCATCCAAGAAGGGCTTGTTGTTGTGAGGTGAGAGCTGACAGTAATGGAAGGCACAGATGTAGTGGCAACTGAACTGGCTGGTGGGGTAAGAGATGAACCAGTCATTGGTACATAGCTTGTGAAATTGGTAGTAGGAGCTGGACTAGTCCCATAGAGACTAAACCAGTTACAGGGGAAAAAGAAAAAAAAAAAGCAATGATTTAGGATATGCAGAAAAAGGGTGAAAAAGATAAAATGAGCAAAATAAGCCCTTGCCCTTCTGATGATTCTTCAGCAGTAATTCTGCAGCTCACACACATTATTCCTTTTTACTAATGTTGAATAAAACTATGTCACAATCTACACACTTTTAAGTTAAGAGTCATAGCCTTCAGTAATGCAAGTTATGGATACTTATCAGAAGGAACCAGCTACGTGGCTTTCACCTATCAAATATAGCCATGGCAATGTAATCAAAAATGGTGAAATGGAAGGACATTGACGTGAAAAAAGAGTGAAGAACTTTAAAAATCTATTCGATTTATTGTTCTTGGGACATTTCTATGCTCCTCTCTGTCTTCTAGTCTACCAATCAATATTCAAGTGAAATTGGTATTCAGCTATAATCAGAAGTCACCTGGATAATGAACTGGAACCAAAGGAGCCCATATTACAGAACATAGGGCTGCTTCCTGGGTTAGAACCCATGTTTAAAATCAGGCTTCTGTCAGGAGACCGGGCAGCCGCAGCAATTGGTTGTGATGTAGCTGTCAGGCTAGCAAATGGATTTTCATCCCTTGACTGGGTGGACATCATCAGTACTTCCATCAAAATCTGCCCGATCAAGTCCTTAAAATCTGAAAACACTGTTAAAAATAAAAGAAGAGCGTTAATACCCTCACCTACTGTCCATCTAGGCATTAGTCAGAGATCTAAATATTATCAGAGATTTCAACTAAAAAGGACAGCAATTTACTTCTGTGAATTAATTGCTGCTTTTGGCAAAAACAATAGACTGATGCTTACATTTATAACTATCACTCTGACTATATTAACTAGATTCTGAAATTAGAACTACACAAAAATATAACTTCTATGGAAAAAAAAAAACATCATAGATGACCTAAGGTTGGTTTTGTTGATTATTAAAGTTGTCTTGCCTCTCATATTTCACCTGCTGTTGAGTTAGGCAAGTTGTGTCATGAAGAAAGGAAAAAAAATGCGTGCGCACACACCCCACACACACACACACACCCACTAATAAGAGAGCAGCTAGCATAGAAAATATAATTTCCTACACAAAATAATCACAAATTCCTAGCTTATCAAATTAACTGCTAAATGTCTATTATGATGCAAGACAACCCATTAAGTCAGTAAAAGGCTTCTGGGAAAAAAAAAAAATAATCCAGCAACATTGCAATATCAGCACACTAGTTTGACAACAGAAAACATAACCAACAAGAGCACAACAATTGACTAAAACAGGAGCTACGACCAATCAGTCCCATGTTCCTTTTTGGGAATTCCATTTCCTGCTACATCTGCCGATAACAGATGTTGAAATCAAGCAAAGACCACAAGCAGGTGGCTCTGGCATTGTAGCAAAGAGAGAAAAGGCTAAAAATAAGACTAGGGAACACGCCACTCAACTGAAACAATCCCTAACAGTGGTAACAGTTGAGATACCAACCTTCCTTTGGATTCTGCTTAAACTGGGCAGAGAGAGAGTTCAGGAAGATAACATCTCTGTCTCGGTCCTTCCAAGAGACTCTGAAAATCTTACAGACCAGCTGTAGAGCTTGCTCCTCAGATACTTCAGACCCAGACAGAGGTTCCTTGGTTAGGGAGGTTAAAAAAAAAAACCACCAACTTACTTGCAATTGTATTAGTCAAGTCACAATTTTATCAGATGCAGGTCTCCTTTAAATGGCTTCAGACTAACTCTTAATGGCAGATTTTGTGTACTTATAAAGCAATCTAGATTTATTTGGAAAAAACCCTGAAGAAACACAAAAGAGATGCAGAAAAGATGTAGCAGAAATACACAGATCTAGTAGGAAGCACGTTCCCAAAACCATGTTTGAAAACAATATAAGAAGGGAAATTTAACCAAGATATCTATGATTTCTCCTTTAAGGAATTAATCAGGGATTCAAATTTGTATTATGCACAGGTATTTTAAGAGTTTCTTGTAGAAATGAAAGCACAGGAAGGAGAGAGCTTCCCCAAGTCTTTCCGGCTTTCAAATCTTTGCCCAAGATAAAGACATCTTTCACTTGAATGAAGTCAGGACAGGATGAAAGATTCAAGAACTTGCCTTGTTCCCCTTTCTTCCAGAAAAGGAACATCATGTAAACTGTGCTCAAAAGGAAAAACTAGTTTCTCTAAAAAGAATGCTACCATGTATAGTGGCTAGCAAAGGTTAAATGGGAGGGTTCTTACAATCCTAAGACAGCTTTGAGTGTGCACCTAAAAAACAAAATGATGGAATACAAAGAAATAAAACTCAAGTAATTACCCCTGCAATGTGAGGAGAGGTAGCATTTAAAACTATTTCCAAAGCATACACGACAAGCCAGCAACATAACTGTCCTGCCCCAACACTGCTCTACCAACACTGAAAAAGCAACATCATACACAAACCAGACAATTCAGCTGCATAGAATTTCAAAGATGGAAAAAGTTTTAGATTTGAGTTTTTAGGTTTTCCTGGAAGAGTTCTCCTGCGAGAGTTGCAGGTTATTTCCTAGACTCCCCCCAAAAAATTCTCATATTTGACTAATACAAGTGCACGTTGCACTGCTATGTTTCATGCTTCTTGAGATAGTAATACTTTTTTCTTGTAGAGAAAATACATCAATGGGGAAGAACAAAATGCAGATTGGAAAAAAAAACAAGTTTTCCACTAAAAATGTCCCTTTTTTCCTTTCAATGTGAGACAATATAATGGCCACCAGGTAAACATAGATTTATCAGGGACTTTGAGCAACTACCAGCACTGTACCCTTTTCAAAAGCTTTCCCTGAAAGCATTTAATAAAGCATAAATTCTGGCACATTAATACATTTTTATTGACTTAACCACTCTACTAGTATTCTACTGTTTTCAAGTACTTCTCCTGCCTATTTCTGTGAAGGTGGCTTTACTATTGACATCATTTTGCATGCAGACAACCAGGTAAGAAAACGTTTTGCTCATGAGGACTACACTGTCTCCTATCCAGTTAACTTTTTGGGGTGTCTCCAAATGAGTAAGAGGAATTGAACCAACTTTGCAAAGCTTTATTTTACTTTCCACTGCTTCCCCCCATCTTCAAGATTGTGCTTGATTCCAAGCTATTTATTTCACAGTAGCACAATGCAAGCTGTCCAACTGCCTGATTTGCAGCTAGGAATTGACTGGAAAGGATTCTGCAACAGGGTTATTGCTATATGGCTTTAAGCCAGGCTTTTACCAACTGACCTTATTACTGACAGTGCAGGAATAAACAAAGACATCTAATGAGCACTGCAAGAACTGTTGTAGAAACTTCTCTCCACTACACTGATGTCCGATTTCTTTATGGCTTTATTTCACATGGGCCTTAAAATCAAATGACAAAGAGGACAATTTTAGGAGTGAATTAGAGCTTTGTACTTGCACTCTTTCTTTTTCTACTTTAAAGTGTTCTACTACCTGTCCAAACCTTGACAGCTAAATACTCTTATTTATTTTCTTATAACATCATTACGAACAAAGTCCTATTACACAGTATAAGCAGTATATATATACACATATATACAGCACATGTAGAATTTGAAGCACTACTATATTAGTAGACCTCTAAATGCTACACATATAAGCTGCAACAATCGTCAGAAGTGTCTTAAAATACTTCTTCAGGCCTATTGCATAAAAAAAATAGATCTGGGCATTAATAGGTCACTGTTGTAAGATACGTAACAAAAATATTTTCTTCAGAGTTTTCAAATATCATCATAAACTAATTTGAGACAATCGAAATGCAGCTTTGACATTGGAAGTTTTGATTTTTTTTCCTTCCCACAAATTTTTATGAGGCAATGCAGTGAAGAAATTGTTCACAGATTACAACTGAGGTCTGGTTCCATACTCTCAAAAGCGTGTATACAAAATATGGAGATAACTGAACTCACTGCAAGCTAAAACTTTGCATTACTCCATCATAAATCCTTTGTTCCTGTTTCTATTCCATTATTTGGAACACTTACCACACACACAGTTCTAGGAAAGAAATTTCTCCAAAAAATAACGTTGTTCCTTTTGAGAAAGAAGCGAATGCAAGGCAAGCCCCAGGATATTACAGACTGCAAAGCTGCAGCCATGTAAGGCTACGTCAGTGAGGGAAAACACAACAATGTAAGCATGAGGTGAAGCCTTCAGAAAATAAAGTTAACTTTTTATGTAACGGAAGCATGCATTACACTGAAAACTAACAACACAGCACTATTAACTCCACATTGCATAATCTGAACAGGTTGTCCCATGAAATCCTGAAGCTCGATGTTCCAATAACTTACATACATAGTCTGAAAGAGAACAGCTAACATAAACCAGACTAACCTTATCCGTCAGACTCCTTTTCTCTCTACGATCATTCTCATCAACCTCCATGTTTTCAATTCCTGAATCCACATCTACCTGGGACATACTGTAAGAGGAAATAAGAAGAGTCCATTAACTTGTAGAAAGCCACAAACAGTCCTCTGTGAGATGCTGACTGAAGGAACGTCACCTTAAGTGGAAGCAGCAGAGAAAAACCAATGCAACAGAAACAGACATACACACAAACAGCAATTAAAATCCCTAGTTGATAAATGCTTCTCACATCACATTTATTTCGAGCTCAAGAAAGACAATACTGAATTTCTTCAGCAGGCAATACAAACTACACAGCTATCACATCCCATAACCTTTTCTTTTTTAAATAGAGTAGCTGAATTGCCCCCACCAGACAAGCTCATTACGTAACGTGTAAGATAATACTTAGTCTTTTATCACCTTAGGTCAGGAATTCCCCTTAAAACCAGACTAGAAAAAGTATTACAGTGGTCTAAACAGTGTGTCATTTTTAAGCATTTAACCCTATTGCATTAACACAGCTAGAAGTGAGAAATGGCAGAATATTTTCCTGTGTAAGTGGTTTTGAAGATTAGCATTGCGCAATATTTGCCGGCTTATACAAGCTGCATTTTTTACCTTTTCTCACAGGAGACACTATCAATATCCATGCTCTGAGACCGAGAGAGAGACTGAGATTGTGTTTCAAGGCTGTTAGATGGAGAACTGCTGAGCGAACTCACTCCTTCGCTGCTCTGGCTTCGGTGGGCTACTCCTAGAGAAAAGGCACCACCAAGATTACTATTACAGAGACGAGAAGGCACTACACAATTATTTGGATGGAAAAGGAGAGAAAATACTGTTTTTCAATCCAGCTCTTAAGCATTTTTAGTTGTGTTTTAGGAAATAAACGTTAATAATATTCACATTTGACTACAGATAATCACATTTTCTACCTCCCCTTGCAGCAGCAACATAGGAACGCTTACCTGCATTACAACACAGAGAACAAAACTAAACTTGCACCTATGAAGTGCTCGGAGATTTACTGCCATAAAAAAAAAAAAGCACTAGTAAACTGATCTCTTCTAAGACTGCTCTGTACACTACCTTAAAACTTGGTCAAAGCCCCTATTAAAGTCAGTCCTATCAGAATAGGACTTCACACTGGGTCATTACAACAGAGTTAACTTGGGTGAGGATACAGGACAAAAATCATCTGAATTCTGATAGTCTTCCCACAAAACCTCCCACAATTTACTGGGAAATTATCAGTACTTCTTCTGCACAAGAATAAAATAAGCATCCAAGGAGTACGAACAACATGCTCTAACTGCGACACCAGCAAATGGAAAGCAATGTAATGGCTTTGGAGCATGGCTGATGAGCATCAGGATATGAACAGGTGGATTCACTTTGCAATGAAGACTTCCTCAGAGAAATGTCAGATACTAGCATGGTAGGAAAGTTATATGCATAATTCAAAAAAATCCAGAAAAAGCCTTGTATTCAATAACAATGGAAGTTGAACGAGTTCTACAAACATCTAAATGGACAGGGCAGTCTATTCCTGAAATTTGTGCCTAGTGACGCTGTTTGAAATAATAATTTGTAATAAAGTAGCATTAATTGCAAGCTGCAACTGTAATTTTATCAATATCAGGTACTTGCATGTCAGTCAGACTCCTTGAAGGAGTAGAAAAAAAGGTATTTGTCTGTTTAAAAAGAAAGCAGCAATGAATTTCAATCCTTTGGGTTCTTTTGCCTGCAGTTTACAAGATATTCCCCAAACAGCATTAGGTTTCAGGTGAGAAGTGTAAAACCAGATTGACAACCTATTTTTAAATTCCATTACTGGCTGTGTTTCAGTGCTACTACTGAAAAGTGTGAGCTTATCCCACGTTTATGGCAGCAACACATTCTGAAGTTAACAATGGGAGCAGCAAAACAGAACAAATAAGGATCATGCTCTTTGACACAAGCTGTTTGTTTTGAGCACCCTTCCCAAAGCTTTTCTAGGTCTTGAAATTTTACAGGAACAAAACTGCAGATGTCAGAAAAATCCCATTTAGAAGACAGTTTGCTGAAGAGCAACTAGATATTTGGCAATGGAGGTAGGAACAATTGCTTCACTCTAGTGCTTTGAAACTCCTGTTTTAATTCCCTGGGTATAAAAACTTACTTTTAATTCCTTACATTAGGCTGGATATTAGTCAGTGTCCAGAAAACACTCGGATCTTCTCATAAAAAGTGGAAAAGGTGCATGAGGTAAAATTAATTTGCATTGGTATTCATAAGAGAATTTAACAGATTGTCCAAACACCTATGTTCTATAACCGAAGACCTGTAAAAGCACTCCAAGGTACAGCAGGACAACATATAGAATGCATATGTAACCTGTACCTATCACAAGATACTTGCTATGTGTAAATTTTACTCAGTTTTGTTTACTAATTTTAGGGCTGTAGTTGGGTATTATCATTCATTCCTAAACTTCTTGAGCCCATTACTTTTTCAGTGTGAAAAGAAGAATAGAGATAGGAACCGAGATCCTCCAAGAGAAGTTAGATTTCACTTAATGACCTATTTGCCAATATTAAATATCTGCAAAAGATTTGACCCAGGAAGCAGGAAAACATCAAGAAAAACTCCATTTTGGTTCTAAATGGCCATTTCCTCCAGTCCTGGAATTTTAGTGATGCATATTACAATTTGACACTGGAAGTCCTTGCACAGGCCCTAAGTCTAGCACAGTTTCTCCCCTAAACCAAGGATATTTATATATCAGGTATAGCATCTGAACTGAGCAAAGCTGCTCAGGTCAATCAGATTAAATAAAAGCAACTTTAAAAAGCAGAACTTCAATGAAGTAGTTTCCATCAAGATACACCCAGCAGAAATATGCTGTCCATGGCAGGGGAAGGCTGACTTCAGCAGGGTATTCCAGCACGTCACTGATTTAAGATATCCCAGTTACAGCCTTGTCTTCCTTTGGTACATTATCGATTGCAAAGCGGCAGTCTTCCTTGAGTTCTCTTTCTTCCACCCTTTTCCCTAAGAAAAAGCTAGCTAAGTCAGTGGATAAAGAGACCAGAGCAAACATGCCTTACCAGGGTGAAGTGCATTGTTCTACATTCCCTTGGGGTCTTACTCCCACTGCCAGGAAAATGTACTTCTAACAGTTATACTGCAGCACTCGTTAACAGGCCTCTTCAAAGAAACTGTCCTACCTACAACCTTTTCACGACAAATCTTCCAGAATTTACTTGCATCTGTACTTTGCTGGATGAGATATATAATAAAATACCTGACAGCTAAAGTTCCGGTTTTCCTTTAAAAAAAAGAAAAAAAAAAAAAAAAAAAGAAAAGCAACAGCATAAAGACATGCAAAAATTATGAAGACCACATACCCAGTATGTGTGGCCATCATTGATACACTGGGTTTTTTAGGCTGTCCAAAATATTTTCAAAATGCGCACAAAATAATGATTGAAAGTTTGATCTTACCATGACATGCAACTTGCTTAAAAAAAAAAATGGATGCTTACAAGGACACTATTCTGCTGGGACTGCTTTCTGTATGTCCAAATGAATTAAAATCCTCTGCAGTCATTTTAGTTTACTGCTCAAAGAACTCCTGCAAACCACACAGCATTAGCTGAGTCTTCATTTATGCTAAATAAATGCAGCAGATAATCAGTTGCAAACATTTTTTCCTGATCTGTTCCCCAATTTAACCATATCTCTTACCCTTGGTGTGAAAAAGACATGCATTATTGAATTGCTGCAATGAACGGAACTGTAGGAAGCAAACACTATACTGGCTAGGTAACTTCTGTTTCTGGTCATCAAATGATCTAGTCTGTATAGTTAGGTACTGTCCAGTGCAGATAGTTAAGACCCTAGAGACTTCTGTTTTAAGAATTCATCTATCTGACCACTTCAAACCATGAAAAACCTGTTTGCCAATACGCAGACATTTCTACCTTCAGGTATGTGTTTCCATACCTCCTGCTCTGTTGGCATTATCGTTTATACAGTTGTGCAGTAAGATGGATCAGGACCTCATCTATTTGAAAACTAACCATTTATTTTTCCTTGGTTAGTTTTCACATGGATTAAGTCCATGATCCACCTCACCACACAGTTGCTATGCACAGAAGAGGGAAAGGCAGTGAGAAATACTCCTTTCAGCAAGAGTCAGACCTAAGATGTATTAAAATAGGCACATAACCACAGGCTGAGTGAACACAGTAAGCGAACCCTGCACTGTTCTTAAAAAAAGTCACCTTTGCTTCTGGATTGCTGTCTATAATCATGGGGACAATGCACAGTGTTGAATTCCATCTGCAATGAGCTTTTCTCAGGAAATGCTTTTGATAGCTTTTCACTGTCCTGCTTTGGATACAAGGCAACAAAATAAGCAGGAAGAAGTCACTTCTAGGTATTTCAGAACAGCACTGTAATTAAATTACAAGTTTTAAGTTTGTAAATTACTGTACTTGCCAAAGGGAAAAACAAAATTTCAGACAGCAAATGAGTAACTAGAGAATTCTCCATGCTTATCAAGGAGCACTGGAAAAAATATTATTTCTATCATTAGAAATCATATTGCAAACCTGTTTAAAACAATCTTGACATTTGTTTTGAGATTGGTTTTGTGAACCTCTTAGCTTAGTAACACCACATGCAAAAGAACTTAAGTTTTCAGATAAAGATCACAATACTGGAAAAATACATCAATATATTTTGATTTCCAAGACAGCCTATACGTTTTGGTTTTTTTTTTAGGTCAAAAGTGGTACTATATATAAGAATATTGTCTTCACTTCTCTATAGATCAACCTTTCCACTTTCCATGCTTCCTGCATTTGTCTGATTTTAACAGATCGGGTATCACTTGTATCTTGTGAAATAAATACCATTTGTAAATATCCTACTTGTATTCACTCTGGTAAATAGTGAAATTGGCAAAGTAATACAAAGGAGGAAAAAAAATACTTTATTCTTACATTGACAACACACAGTCAAAGCCTACTATTTATAATTGTGCCAAATGCTAGTAATTAAAGATCAAAAATGAACTTGGGACTGATTGCTAAAATGTACCTAGAAACTAATCAATAAAAACTGTGTTGCAAGACTGAAAAGGCTTTATTTTTCTGTCCTCTTGACAGATTGGCTTTCTTTCCTGTAATATTCTGTAATATTAAACTGTATTACAAACTTCCTCAAGCTTTGGTAACCCTTGTTTTAAATGCTATTATTATACTTATACCTGGACAATAATTGTATCTAACCATTTGTTATTTGGAAAATTAAAAAAAAAAAAAAAAAAAAGTACCCTCATTCACCACTTCAGAATGTTTCTTTTTGAAAATTATTTTTAGTAACAGCAGAAATAACATCAGTAATAGCACTCATGTTCTAAAGATAAGGAGTTGCATAGTAACTTTCCACAGACGTACAATAATAATTTTTGTCACTAACATGCCAGCCTACCTGATGCACCAATTGGAGAGGTAGCTGGGGTCATGCTATGGACATTTAGGCCTAGACTATGGGATGGCCCCGGGGCTGGTGCTACTACAGGTGGTCCAGGGGGGGTCTCTCTCTGCGGTGATGTAAGTGGCGTAGTAGGCTGGGAAGATGGTCCACCTGCCAACCGAGCAAGGCGCCTTCGACGGATCTGCACAAAGGAAATAACAGCAAATAAACAGGTTGGTTTGTACATACGTTTGCACACGCACCCCACGGTTGCCCTTTGGCCCCCCCTCCTGTGAAACTGCAAATACAGAAGCTTTACTTGATAACCTGCTAAACGGCACAGAGTCTTACTGCTCTTTCACTGTTCTGTGCGACAATACTAAAATACCCCTGATGTTTAGATTTGAAGTACGTATTCGCTGCCTTGGAAAACCATTTGCACTGGAGAATACAGTGTTTGTCCCTCAAACGGTTGTGTAAGACAAATTTAACATTTACTGCTCAGCAATTTCAAAACCTGTAACACTCCTTCCCATTTATTTTGGCATTTGATGAAACAAACTGCCTTAATCTGATAAAAGGGACAATATGAACGTGACCTTCACCTTAATTTCACACCACACTAAAAAACATCAATGCTAAAGAAGATGCAGTTGAAAGTTATTAAAGACAATCGCTATCCAAGTTAATCTGAAACAGATCTGCAACACTAAAAATATAGAACTCTGCTGGACAGAAGCATCTTGAGAAGTAAAGACAGACAGTAAATAACACCCTCTCATCATCTAGACACTTTCCATCACACAGAACTAAAAAAACAAAACAGGTTTTACACATTACTAGTAAGACAGAGAAGCATCTGCCTTCAAAATCCAACTTCAGAAAACTCTTAGGAACCTATTTATTAAAATTAGTACATGACCACGTAACACTAATACTATACATAATAAAGAAATAGACAAGATAAAACTTATAATTTATAAGCGCTTCAAGTGAAACTTGAAGCATAAATGAAAAAGAGAAAAGAAATTATTTATTATCACAGGCTGCCTCAGAGGATCTGTTCCTAAAGCTTAAATCTTCAGCTTGAAACAGGCCCAGCACAAAATAAAAGTATTGTATTTGAGGGTGTCCACTGCCTGCAAAAATAAGCAATTCATGTTATTTCCTCTTTGAATTATGATACTCAAGCATTGTATGTAATGTATTGGTTTTCACTTCTGCTCATAATCCCAAAGAACTGCCAAGCAAGTAAAGGAGCAAACAAAAGATTTGTGTCAAGTCAATGTCTATGCTACATTACTGCAGTCATTTAATGGCCTGTGAAACCTACTCCAACAGGAAGAAGAACAGATCAAATTAAATCAGACTTCAAAAACTGTGGGAAAACAGCGTCTGGAACTGCATCTCCCTCCATGACAGGTGTCACCACATGAACATGGAAGGCAGCTAGAAAATAAATTCTTTTTTTTGTTGTTGTTCTTGAAACAACAAAAAAGGCTATGACTAGAATGTCTTAATCCCTTCTCCTTGTCAAGCAAAATAGGGGAGCTTATTGCATAAACAAATTGTTTAGCTTTGCCATAAGTAGATGCTGTGCATATTAGGGTCTCTAGAAAGTTACTTAAAAATACTCTAATTTTTCTCCACTTGTATCATACATCTTAATTTTTCAGCCACTTATCTGAAAAAACTACACCCCTCAAAGGCATACCTGAGAAAACATCAGCCACGCATCCCCATACCAGTTTTCCCTATTACCGAATCCAAATGAAGCTCACAAAGCAGTATCAAAAATATTGTCAGTAAACCAACCCAGCTGAATTGAAATTATTTGAATTAGGGGGTTGAATTAAAGTTTTAAAAGCTTACCATTCAACTGATCTGTAACCGTGCTTTTCAGGTAAAGGAATGGAGAAAGAAAATACACAAATAGCCCATATATGTGGAAATGGCTGAGGGAGGAAGATGAATTATGTGAAAAGCAAGAAAAATAAATGTGATGTGAAACTTTTCCAAACTGTTCATATTCATTCTTGCTACCTAGTTCCAAAACTAATGTTAGGAAGGAAATACATAAGGAGGAAAAGGCATAGATAATAATCAATATATTTACCAATTTATTCTCAAATACGGTTAAACATTGATCACTCAAATAAGGTCATAACCCTCATAAGGTATGATTTGCACACAGCCTCTCTTCATCATCTCCCAGTTTCAAGGAGATAATTGAGGTCGCTTGTGCCACTCAGCATTCTTTCACCTACAGTGCTAGGCTAGATCAATGCCGAAGTTACGTCAAAACCAGCTGCAATCATCACTGGTGAAACGGGAGGACACTCAGACAAACCTTCTGTCTTGTATTTGTCACTCTTAGTCCATCAACCACACATCCTTCTTATGGACCAATCCCCCAGACTGTAATCTGCCCTGAAAAAAAAAATCTGAAGAGCATGGAACAAAGAAATCTGCACAGACACTGAGCTGGTTTTAGATAAGATACTGCAATTAAAACCAATACAAGATTTTTCCCTGCCCTTTTCAGGATGATAGGCAAATGATACTTATCTTCCTTACTGCTGAACAAATTAACATTAAAATATACATAAATCCTGAATATTTTTTTCAATGAAAGAGACAGCTTTCACAACAGAGGGTACATTTAGTGACTGTTAAAGGACCAGATATGGTTCTTAAGATACCCTAAATATTCCTCTAGGTTTAAAGATAGTTATCACAGAAATCTGAAATTTGATCTGAAGATTAGAAAGCTTTAAGAGAGAAAAAAAAGGGAGAAACAAAGGTATTATGCTAGAGAGGCAAAAGTGCCTCTCTAGAAAGAGAAGTTTGAGAATACAGCATAAAACTGGTGCACATCTTCTGTCCAGTTAATTCCCCTGTGCTTTAAGACTAACCATCAAGAGGAGGGAAGTTAAGGTAGGCTTTATGCTCAGGGCAAAACATAGGGACTCAGAAGACGTAGCTTGTTTGCACAAACTAGGCACAAATGCGGCCCCAACCTGTTGCCTTCACGTAACACAAATAAAGTATGTTAGATTTGTGGGAGTTCAAAGTGACCTGTTCTTATTTCAGACTGGATGACTCTCCAAATCACCATGAAGAAACACATAGCTGGGTTTTTAAAAATATTTTCTTAGGAAAGTTTAGTGTACCTCAACAGCACCCAACCCTTGATTTCGGCACTAAGTATTTGCAATAGTGACATGTGACAAAGCTGTTATATCATTACATTACCCAACAGTAACAAGTTACTTGGTACTAACCATTACGTAGGCTATAGAACAAACAATCCCCATCTTCCCTACTGAGCACAACTCTAATACACAAATTAAAAGGTTAATTAAAAAAAAAAATCTAACTGGTTGAATGGAAAAAGCACATTGGTTTTTAGCTAGTACAGTTTTTGCTGGACACATCTGGATTATGGCTTTGAATAGCAGCTTTCAGAAATACATTTTTGATCTTACTGGACTTCTCAAGAGCTGTTAGCTGGATACACTACAACAAACCATGTAAAAACAGAACCCTGTTAAAGACAGTTAACTGATAATTTGATTATGCAGCAGACCAATAAAGGTACCACCAGGAAGACTGGTCCCTCAGGCTCACACACTCTCAGCTAAAAAAAAATAAATCTGTATAAACATGTACTTTAGTGGCAACTGCTTAGTGATGCTCTAAGGATTTTTTTTATTCTCCCATAATCATAGAAGAGTTCCAAATCTGTACAGTAAAGGGTAATTTGAATGGATAGCTTTATTTTTCTTGTATTCATTAGAGCATGTTAAATTGGTTTAAGAAATGCTTCATTTTCTGGTGACACTGGTCCTGTTCTGTGCTCAGAAAACACTACTCAAAATCACATAAATCATAGAAGATACTAAGTTAACATCTTTCTTTCCCACTTTATGCCACATTTGGCTTGATTCTGCTTTTTTCTGTGCAGCCCCTATTCTCATCTTGTACTATCTCTCACTCATGCTAAAATTCACATGCTAAAAAGGAATTTTCTTCCCTCCCAAAGATTTTAGTATGGTCTGTAGTAAATGACAACTTCTAGTGCATTAAGTAAACACTAAGAAAATTTCAGTGAGAGACACTGTCGATAGCAGTGCAAAATACCTTCCTGAAGCTAAACTATACCCTGTAATCCCAAAGCCACTATCAATTGTATCCATCTTGCTTCTGTTTAAGTTACAATTTACTAATATTATACTTAATTATGATTTGATATAAGAAGATAAACTAATCTACAAGAGGCTTGCAATTAATTTCAGCTTTAGTTAAGCGTTTTTTTTTGCCTTCAGTCACTGCCAGATAAAGAGTTTGAATCAGACAGAAGTCACATACGATGTATTTTAGCAAGCTATTTTTCCATATAGTCCACCTCTGATCCAGGGTCCGCTGCGACAAGTAACAGTAAAGCAGAGATGTGGAGGAACATTAAAATAGACTTAGCTGTGACTTTTCAATGAGGGGTCCATTAACAATAGAAAGTGACAGCGTGACTCTCTTAAAATGATACAAGATTAAGTTTGTCTCAAGCAATCCCCGAAAAGAGCAGTCAGCTTTGGTCCTAGCTGAACTATACCAGAAAGACATGGAAGAACTTGAGTCACTTGAGACAAACATTTTGCCAGAAAAGGTAGATGAGTCCCTACTGGAGAACTCATTTTCTGCAGCCTCAGTTCCACAATGCAGTGTTTTTGATGATGTCAGTAATTTGCTGAAGCAATGACACAAACAAGCTTACATAGGTTAAATTATTCTGAAATTAATCATAAAACATCTCATAATCAGATGCAGTTTAACAATCACGTTTGCATGTAAACAAAGTACTCATGAAATACACCTATAAAAATAGAGATCCCTTTTCACAGTAGCAATTACAGAGCTGGCATCCTATCCCACTCTCTCCAACATGGGAATTGTACTCCTTTTCTCAATGCTTCCGTAGAGTATGAGGACCTTCATCAAGTAAATAGCATGAAGTATTTCCTCCTAGTTCCTGCGGCACCATAGTAAGATTGCTAAATCATGATGTACAGGGTAATCAAAAACAACTTTTTGGAATACAAATCTGAGTGACAACAGCAGCCACCTTGCTCTACAATCCTGTCATAAGATGTGGTACAGAACAAAAATAACTTCTTTTGATCCTCCCTGGAGCATAAGTACAGCAATGAGCCTATTCTGCAGCTGGCCCAACACAATACGTTTTATACGGACGCAATACAGTTTAACATGAAAATATTATTTTAAAGAGATGAGGGAAGATTTGAAGTCGTACATGATTCTGGCATTATGCTGGGACAGTGGGAATCTCCCTACATCCCGATCAGTACCACAACAGAATTCATTTGAGAGTCCTCCAATCTACAATCAAAACATGAGACCTTAATCTATATTTAAAAGAAGAAAAAAAGGAAAATACCACCCTTTAGAAAGAAGAAAAAGGAAACAGCTCACATTATTCTGTCAGATGTTTGTCAGTCACAACATAGCACCTATAACTCTTAAGTGAAAGAGATTGAACTAAAAAAAAAAAAAAGTACATCGCAGGAAGCATCGGAGAACTGGCAAACCTGTTTCAAAAAGAAATTATTAAATGTAAGACCACACACCCCCCCCCCTTGCTTCTAAGCAAAGAGCCTGAGAATTTTAAGTGTTTTATTACCTTAAAAAGTAGGTGGTGTTTTTTTTTTTTTTTATCAGATACAGAGAACATATAAAATGCCTAGCACTGAACACAGAAAAAGAGACATCCTCCAGACAAAGACCATCTGGCAGATGGAAGCAGGGAATAAACAATTAACCAGGAGAGAAGCAATTCAAGCCCATCGACCAGCCAGGGGGCCGCGGGTCAGGGGCAGCAGGGAGAGCGGAGGCAAGGGAGAACACTGAGCGCAGAACCCGGGCGCGGGCAGAGCGCCTCAGTAACACCTTCCCACACGCAGGTTCCTGACCTTGGGGTCGGGATGACGGCCCAGGAATAGCCCGGCGCCCTC